ATAAGGGTGCACCGATGTTACTCACTGTGCATTACCCAGGGGGCGCGTGTAACTTGATGGTAAGCCACGGACGTGGAGTAACAATGCCCCCACAGCGTTCTACGATCTTGTTAGGACCGGGACCTACGGCTTAAAGTGGATTCCGAACCACTACAAACATCCATGGCAACGCCGGGATTTGAACCCGATACCTGTGGTACCGAACGCCAGAGCAGAATTTTCATTCGGCCATATGAAAGTTGTAGACAGTGATTGAAACAGAACGATGTTGCGGTATGCACAATGGACCCATGGTAACTGGCTGCATAAAGTTTGCACTTAGTCGGTGGTGGTGTTCCCGAGAGTCCGTTGGCGGCACTTCGATCCTGCATTCAGCTCTGTTTATCTGCACAGGACTCTTTGGGTTCGCCTTTTCTGCAATACGGGCAACGGACGTACCGGTTACGGATTTCTTAGGTGGTTTTAAGAACCACCTCGTCTTAATTTAGTTAAAGCCTTAGCATAAGTTGTAGTTTCTTGAATGGATGAATAGAAATAATTAAACATAAATTAAATGAATTTAAAATTTATGAAAAAACCTCTCCTGCTTGAGAACCATTAAAGCAGGAGGTCGAAAAAGCTAAAGCTATCGGTACAATTAGGAGTCCGTTGACGATGCCCAAAAATAAAAAGGTTAAAGTTAAAATGAGAATTTTAAACATAAAAGTAAAATAAAACAAAAGGAATTAAGATCTGTTGATTAAGATTAAGATTGTACTCTGTTGTTTATAATGTTCATTAATCTTAATGAACATTATAAACAACAGAGTAGAAGAGCGTAAACAAACATTTGTTGTTGTTTCTTATTCCACTTGGCTGGCCAAGTCCACGAGCCCATACGTACTCATGATTGAAGGTGAAGGTAGCAGCTTCTGTTGTGATGGAGCACCCGTAGGTAGAAGTCTGACTTTGGCTCCGTGGCGCTCTTACAGTCATAGGAGACCGGGACCTACTGCTTAAAGTGGATTCCGAACCACTGCAAACATCCATGGCACCACCGGGATTCTAACCCGATACCTGTGGCGCCAGAGCGCTAGACACTCGGCCATTCAGGTCCCAAATTTGTGAATGTCAACGGCACGCGGTGTTCCCAGGTGGTCACCCACCCAAGTACTGACCGTGCCCAATGATGCTTGACTTCGGTGATCTAACGAGAACCGGTATATTCAGGATGGTATGGCCGTTGGCACTTACACAATCTTACAAAATAATTATACAAAATAGGTAGGGTTGACTGGCTCGCCAGCAGATGGCGCCATCAGTCTCATTGGTTGTACATTGTAAAAAAACCCAAACCGAAGTTAGGAAAAAAGAAAATACAATTTTTATTAACTGGTTAAATATTTAAGTCAAAATAGTACTTTGAAGTACTAGGTATTATTTGTGAGCAGACAGCAGTAATTAGCTATTGAGTTAAGAAGTATAAAAGCTAAATAAGAAAATTTTAAAGTAAAAGTTAACAATTAAATCAAAACGAGATAATTTCAAAATCAAGAATTAAGCAATAAAATATAATAGTTAAAGATTTAAAATAATTCAGCCGGAAAGCTGTTAGATTAAAGTTATCGAGTTAATTTTAAAAGTAAGCAACAATTAAGTAATTAAAAGTTATTAAAAATTACAAGAGCCCTTAAAATTAAACAACTAAGTATTTAAAATTAAAATTAAAATTCAGATAGCCATGTTCTGAATTAAGGTGCACATGTTTCTGCAATACATTTCCTCGAACTTTCACTTTCGCCTTCGTTGCACAGAAGCCAACATTGTAAAATATCCCCAAAGATTTCACATATTTTGGTTATAGTTTTGTGTGTGCTTGCTGTTGCGTTTTAGTTTTATATTTAGCTTAATCTTGCTGAAACCTTTTAAATAAGCCCTTGACTCACTCCTGTCACACGTCTGGATCCCAAGATAGAAGAGCGGGAACCCAGCCCTGGATTCTAGGACAACCCTTTTCCTTCTCTTCCCCTACAGCCTGTCTTCTACACGATGATGTACTTAGATTTTCTAAAAAATGTATAGTTTTGAAGTGATTAAAATTTCAAAGGGGACACGAAAATGTAACATTCCAATCTTGATACATCAAACCCCACGGAATTGGTGGTAGCGCTCGACACTACAGGGTCGAGAATCTCAGTACCAGAAGACAAATGAGGCTAATGAGGCTTTTGAGGCTATCCACACTTCAAGACAATTTATGATTTCTTCAAAAGAAAGAAAGGATTGATCACCAACTGAATCAGAAAAAGCAATGTCTTGAGAATTCGATGCAGGACTTATCATCGAAGCGTTTTCAAATATATTTTGCATTGCTTCGAAAAACATGTCTTATTATGTAGAAAACGACTTTTGTCGTTTATTTGCTTGCACTTCCGCCGTTCATTTTTCAATGCTCGGTTCAAAGACGTCCGTTACGAGTCGTCAGGTTTTAACAGATCACGATTTCTCTCGTCTAATTAGGGATCTCTTGGTGTTCCGTATCAAAATCCCTCTGTTGAATCTTTTAAATCTTTTCGTCCGAGGCCACCGACCAGGGCTGGAGGCAAATACTACCATTTCTGCAATACATTTCCTCGAACTTTCACTTTCATCTTCGTTGCACAGAAGCCAACATTGCAAAATATCAACAAAGATTTCACATATTTTTGCCAATTTTTAATTTCAATAAAGGGGGAAAATAAAACTTCCCCCTCTCTTTAACTCGTGCAATATTTCGAAAAATACAAATTTTGAAAATATATATATACTGTCCACGCTTCCACGGAATGACATCAAAGTCCGAATGCAATTGCTAGTTAGGTAATGGTCAATCTGATTCATCCACTGGCTAGTAGAAAATCCCACGAATCAAGTTTATTATTTAATATATGAAATACCCTCACCATAAAAATACTGAGTAATTATTAACGACATCTAAAAAGGTCTTGAATTCAATAATGAATAATTCAGGACTCTATGAAAAAAAAATATATTTTCTACGGTGACAGTTCCTCTGAGAGCATCAGTGTGCTTTATCGATGAGTGGATTCGTTGGGCGGGGAATGGAGGGAAGGAGATATTACTCACGTGGTCTGTCGAGCGTGGGGGTGGAGGTGGAGGAGGAGGACCCCTCGTCCGAGGCCACCGACCCGGGGCTGGAGGCGACGGTCTGCGGTTGCGACAGGTTGATGCCCAGCTGTTCTGCCAGCTCGGCGTGGTCCTGCTGGTGGATGTAGTCGAACACGCTGCTGCCCGTCATCTCCACCTGCAAGAGGGAATCGCTCGGTCATGGGTTAGAAATGCAACAGTGGACAACACCCTTCCGACCCTTTGGATTCCCGTCACCGACCCATCTACTGACGGGAGGAAGCCATGGATGGAAAGACTGCCTTCTCGGCATAATCAGCCAGATAAACAGCATTACTCTAGTTCAGGGCGTCTCCAAACTTTCCATCCTTAGGGCCATACTGTTTACTCCAGTAAGTACCAAGGGCCAAATCCGTCATTGTCTATAATTTCTAGACTAGTCGCCGTGTACGCGCTCTCAGCGAGCATACACTTGCTAAATTCGCTGGTTCAATTACTACAATTACTATTGTGTGTATCGATACGACCGTGACACTTGACGACATCTAGTGTTAACTACCGAGGGCTGTTCACTAGTCTATAATGTTAGTGGGATTCATTTCAATTATTTGTTAGTTTTTATGCTTAAGTTAAATTTTCCGCATATTATGCTTGCCATTAAGCTTTACCTAGCAAGTCAATAAAACTGAGTTATTATCATTCTGTGTTTTTTTTTTACCCAACTTATTGCAGCAACTATAAACTATTCGCTGTCGTGGGCTGGATGGATGACACTAGCGGACCGGATTTGGCCCGCGGGTCGTAGTTACGAGACCCCTGCTCTAGTTCAACAACCGATTGCATGGAAAGGCAAACATCTGGCTTAAAGGTGGAACGGGACGAATTTATGTCTCGCTAGAGGTTCTAATAAAATACACGCTATTCAAAAAATACTTTTATATATTATTGCGAAAATTTGTTCGGCTAATTTTTTTAAATTAATATTACGTAATTTAAAATTAAAATTACTTTTACAACACCGCCCTCTTTAAGTCCATCCCATGCGGCTGCTTATCAGTTTTCCACCCGATCAGTAGTCGAGCAATAGCTCTATCAGGCTGGTTGAGTGAATGAAGGAGCTAAATGAATGGAGAAGGGAGTGATCGAAATTTGAGAGCCGAAGGTCTGGTGAACGGGGTCCCAACCGAGCTACATCGAATTGTCAACGACACATGAAGCATTCTAATGAAACACGATTCCTTTCCGATTCACTATTTCTGGACGTTTTTCTTCAATTGCTGTCTTTAATGCTTCTAATTGAGAGCAATTTTTTTTTTCTTTTCCTCATGCAGCTGGCCATAAGGGATGCACCGACGTTACTCATTTTGCATTTCTCAGGGGGCGCGTGTCACTTGATGGTAAGCCACGCAGTAACAATGCCCCCGCATCGCTCTACGGTCCTATTAGAATCGGGACCTACGTCTTAAAGTGGATTCCGAACCATTACCAACATCCATGACACAGCCGGGATTCGAACCCGATACCTGTGGTACCGAATGCCAGAGCGCTAGCCATTCGGCCATCAGGCCCAATTGAGAGCAATACTTTTGTATGAATGCATCGTCTTGTGTTGTTGTTGTTGTTTTTTATCCCACTTGGCTGGCCAAGCCCACGAGCCCATATGGACTCATGATTGAAGGGGAAGGAAGCAGCTTCTGTTGTGATGGAGCACCCGTAGGTAGAAGCCTGACTTTTGCTCCGTGACGCTCTTACAGTCATAGAAGACCGGGACCTATGCTTAAAGTGGATTCCGAACCACTACAAACATCCATGGCACCGCCGGGATTCGAACCCGAAACCTGTGGCACCGAGCGCCAGAGCGCTAGACACTCGGCCATTCAGGTCCCAAATTTGCCAACGGCACGCAGTGTTCCCAGGTGGTCACCCACCCAAGTACTGACCGCGCCCAATGATGCTTAACTTCGGTGATTTATTGGAGTATCCCTCCTATCTGCTCTTTGTAATTCATATATTCCTGACTCCTTCAAAGCAATCAACTGAAATCCATAGCCACAATTAACTTTTCGCTCCACCACCAGATGGCAGCATGAGTCATCCTGAAACATCACTTGTTGATGTTTTGATGCAATGTATATGAGCTTCTTTTTATGTATTTAACCAAGACAAGCCGCCTGCGTGTGGCCTATACAGTTCCCACCTTTGTGTGGATGATTTTCTATTATGTATTCCCCTCTTGTAACTGTCCTTTTATTTTTAATAAATCCGAGTTCCTCGGCGATCCCCCGACGTCAAGTCACGTCACACACCCCCTCCACTGTGCACTATTTACTACACTTTTTCTCTTATTGTTATACCTTATTTATATTAATTTGCATCCCCGCTAATTCTCATCATTTATTAGTAATTGGGGCTAAAACCTTTTGGATACGGAACCCCTTTCCCACCCACCCTCGAATGACTTAACTTCGGTGATCTAACGAGAACCGGTATATTCAGCATGGTACGGCCGTCTTGTTGTTTGATAAAACCTCGTAATCTTTCCAATCCCGCCAGGCATAAGTGTTTCACCTTCTTAGGATGAAGACCTTTGTTTGGGGTGGCTAAAGGTGGATTCGTACCGCTTTCCCATTAAATGACTCCTTTTTAATACGCTTTTATTAGTTTCACCTGTATGTTTGTTTGTATGTATTTTTGTATGTATGTAACTGACTCTTTGGGCTCGATTTTGGGACGGATGGCGCCATCTACTGGCGAGTCAGTCAACTGATCAAACCATACCTATTTTGTTTAATCTTAATTCCTTTCGTTTTATTTTACTTTTATCTTAAAATTCTCATTTTAACTTTAACCTTTTTATTTTGGGGCGTCGTTTAAATTATAGTTTAAAAAAACTAAAAAAACACGCTTTTAGAGTTAATCAAACTAAAAAGTAAAAAATAAATTAATAGTTAAAAAACACTAAAAAAACACGCTTTTAGAGTTAATCAAACTAAAAAGTAAAAAATAAATTAATAGTTTAAAAACACTAAAAAAACACGCTTTTAGAGTTAATCAAACTAAAAAGTAAAAAATAATTGTTAACATAAGAATAAAATGACTGACGAGAAAATGAAAAGCGTGTTTTTTAGTTTTTTAAACTAATTTATTCATTCCCGTAACTACTTGCTTTAAAAATGGTATCACCTCGCTGCTTTTATGAAACGAACCGCAAATGGAAACGCTATCCTACAGAATGTTTCTCCGTTAAATCGTGAGTAACCGACCTATCCAAATGGATTATGCAGCCAAGTTTTACAAAATGCTCGCGGATTTTCATATTTCATCTAATTCATGTGACATATAGCGGGAATTATTCTCGATCAGTGTTTTAATGCGATCTTTCTCTGTGGTGGAGGCTTCAAAATTGGAATCGCCAGCTTTAAACCTAGCTATCAAAGCTCAGTTCTTTCAGTTAAAACCTTTCCGACCTTTACCATAAAAAACGCATGTCATGTTTACCACTTGTATGGCGTTGTTGCTTTTTCAGCTAAAATTAAATGCATTAAATGCCTGTAATGCACTGTGTACAAAGGCGTATACAAAAATCAACGTATCAAAACAGAACATTTTTTCAAATACGCCTGAAGTGACCGCCCTTGTCTTCAGTTATGCTGTTATATTAAGACCTGTAATTAGGTCAGAACTGTCAGGACGGCACTCTATTCATTAACCTCTCTTTTTCGGTATAAGTGCGATTAAGCTAATTTGAAAATTATTTATCTTTTTGATCGATCTTCTGCTTTAATTGTTCTCAAGCAGAAAATGTTTTTCTACAATTCTTTTATTTTATTTATTTAATATTCTTACTCTTTTAAATGTAAGCAACTTAATTTTGTGCTAATCTTGTGGCCCTGCGATTGAGCAAATCGACGAGTCCCCCACTCATCAGTGGGTGGAAGATCCAACGAGTTGCTGAAGTGAATCACCATTAGTTGTTGTGACTAATCCTCAATGTCCTGCAGTGCGGGACAGACATCCCATGAGTGATCTACTCACGGATGGAGGGAAATGGGGCAGCTTCTGTTGTGATGGACTTCCTATGACAGTCCTTCCTTCTAACAGTCCTATGAGACCGGGACCTACGGCTTAAAGTGGATTCCGAACCACTACAGACATCCGCCGGGACCCGAAACCTGTGGTACCGAGCGCTAGCCACTCGACCATTCAGGCCCATTCTAGCCCATCGCCTAGTTGAGCTAGTTGAATTTCAAACCTGGCTCGCGGAGATCACTCACCTGAGAGAGGCCCAGGTAGATGGAGACGGTCTCGGATATGTAGAGGAATCTGCCGTCGGCACTCAGGGAGAAGGCGAAGCCGTCCAGGGACTGCAATGTAACACATTCGCGTTATTCTGTAGACTGATCCAAAAGTCCATAAACCCATGAATTTAACAGGGGGGCTAAAAAGTTCATAGGCTGACACGTAGATGGCGCTACTAGTATTAAATCCATATGATTTTTAGTTAGCCCTCACCTTCAAAAGACACGTGCATAAATTTGACAGCTGTTGCACTATTAGTATGTGAGTTGTAGCATTTTTAGTGAAGCAACTTTTGCTAGTTTGAAAAAATGGATAAAAAAGAATTTCGTGTGTTAATCAAAGCATTGCTTTTTGGCGAAAAAAATACTATTGAAGCCAAGGCTTGGCTTGATAAACATTATTCGGACTTTGCACCAGGAAAACCAACCGTTTGAATGAATATTTGGATATGCGAAAGCTCTGTTCAAAGTGGGTGCCGCGCGAGCTCACAATCGACCCAAAACAACAACGAATGGATGATACTAAGCAGTGTTTGGAGCTGTTCAATTGGAATAAACTCAAGTTTTTGCGTTGATATGTGACAATGGATGAAACATGGCTCCATCACATCACACCGGAATCCAATCGACAGTCAGCCGAGTGGACTGCACGTGATGAACACTAAAAATGCTACAGCTCACATACTAATAGTGCAACAGCTGTCAAATTTATACACGTGTCTTTTGAAGGTTAGTTATTGCTAAAAATCATATGGGTTTAATACTAGTAGCGCCATCTATGTGTCAGCCTATGAACTTTACAGCCCACCTGTTACTTACAACTTAAAAAAAATAATAATTAAAGTCCGTATTTGTAATTGTGGTGAACATTTAGGCATCGATTTAAGACCGTATTAATTAATTAGTAAAAAATATTACGAGAGTAGTATTTTTGTCGAGAGTAGTGCCTTTTTTTTTTCTAAAAAAAAAAAAATTTAGCCTCGCATTTTTAACACGGATGGCTAGTGTTAGATAAACCATTAATAATGTAACAGTGAAACATTGAATTCCCATTCTCAGGCTCATTCTATGATGAATGAGACTGAGTCATCATTCATCACAGAATGAGAATACTCAGTCTCATTCAGATGAATGAAAATGATGAATGAAAATGAGACTCTTACTATCCCAATCAAGTGTTCGAACCTTGTGAGTGTTAACAATGTGGAATGTGAGTTCGAAAAAAGTGTTCTAAAGAGGTACAACAAACAATGCGAGTGAGAGATACACTTGTTCTTCCATCTGAAGCCTGTCACTTCGTTCGCTATCCGCAGCAGCTGCAGTTTCTGTAAGAGTTCTCCTCTCAATTCCGTAAAGCTTTCTCAATCTCGTTGTGGAATTCATTCCGAACTCAATGCGCATCGCAATGCGGGACAAAATTCTATTCAACAATTCTATTAACAAACATTTATACCACATACGATATAAGACGCCTTTCTGCTCAGAAGAATTAACATGATTGCTGCTTATAACACTATTCGTAAAACATGAACATGTTCAAACCCGTCATACAATTCCTTTATTAAAAAGTTCTGAGTAAATTTATGGGTCTCTCCAATTTTGGATCATATGCGATAACAAACATTAGTATCATATGGTCATAATGCTATATAGTATAATCATAATGCATGACAAACGATCCTACGGCAGGACAAACGTTCCTATAACATAACACACGTTAGAATGCCAAAGTTAATTTGGTATAAATGTCATATGGCATAAGTTAATGGCAAATGTTAGTATGGCATTAGAAAAACCAAACGTCATGACAAATGTTAGTATGGCATAACAAAATCCAAAATAAAGGCATAAGAAAGGTCATGTGATCTAACGAACATCGGTATTGCATAACAAACATCAATATGACATAACAAACGTTACTATGACGTAGCAACCATCGTATGACAACACAACCGTTAGTATAGCCTAAAAACTTTAGTATGACACAGGGAACATCCTATGGCATAACAAACTATGATAAGGCAAGGCAAACGTTAGTGTACTCATTTACGTGAACATTTGCATGTGTTTGGCATCCAAATGAAACGTTGGCGTACTTTTTGGGATTCGATCAAACGCTAGAATGGCAAAGTTAACTTGGTATAACAAACATCATATGATATAACTTAAGTTAAGTCATAACAAATGTTTGTATGCATTACAAAGACCAAATGCCATAACAAATGTTAGAATGGCATAACAAAATCCATAAGAAAGGCATAAGAAAGGCCATATGATCTAACAAACATCAATAAGGCATAACAAACAACAATAGGACATAACAAACAACGTATGACAAAACAGGTGTTAGTGTAGCCTAAAAACTTTAGTATGGCACAGAGAACATCCTGTGGCACAGCAAACTGTGGTAGGGCAAGAGAAACGTTAGTGCACTTATTTACGGAAGCATTTGCATGTGTTTGGCATCCAAATAAAACGTTGGCGTACTTTTTGGGATTTGAGTATTCGCGTCTGAGTGCAGGAGATGTTTTTTAATGAAATGCGAGGAGGTAGTAATTCGAGGAGGTTTCTGTGGTTTCGAGGCGGGAATCTGTAACTGATACGGGGGAGCAGCGCCTTTGAAACGTGCACTCTAATGCCATTAGGAGCCCGTTTCCCGGGATGGGGGGTGATTCA